CGAGTGTGCCGAGAAACTTCCACTTTTACAAATGGGCAGAGGACCTGGATGGACAGAACCCCCAACGGTCAATAGGTGCTTGAAGAAGCGCTCAGTGTCAGATAACTGCGGACTCAGACCATGATGAAACAGCACCCACCTCCGATGGGCTGGCCGTCACCAAGTGCTGGTGAGGACGGTGGGAAGTGGGGGTGGCCCTCGTGGGAAGCAGCAGCACGGCTCCCCAGACACACGTGACCTGGCTGTCCTGTCCCTGGGAACACACCCAAAGGGCTACAGTCAGCATGTAAAAGAGGTGTGCAGGTGCGTTTAGGGTTGTTCACCACAGCTCAGAAGGAAACAGCATGTGGGTGAAGAAAACGCCACACACACACACACACACACGGACTTGCTGGTGCACCTCACAAGGAGGGTGTGGGCGCACTGGGGGCATTGTGGCCTGAGTGAGGTAGGACGGCCACAGAGACACACACTGGGCAGGCGAAACCAGTAAGGTCAGTGACACAAGCAGGGGCCAGTGTGCAGCTGGCCAGGGCCCAGCACGGTGGCGCAGTGAGTTGGGCTAAACTAGCACTTGAGACACTGGTGCCCCACCTCTGAGTGCGTGTGCAAGGCCTGGCAGGTCCCCAGGGCACCTGAAAAAATGCTGGGTGGTGATGCCAGCACCGCACAGGGGGCCTGCCTGCAGTGTGGCCCAGTCCTGGCCATTATTCACTTGGGGAGTGAGCCAGTGTGTGGAAGAACTCTTTTAAATAACCAAATGATGTTTCAGGGCCCAGTGGTGTGGCCTAGTGGCTAAAGACCTCACCTTGAATGCACCAGGATCCCATATGGGAGCCGGTTCTAATCCTGGCAGCACCACTTCTCATCCAGCTCCCTGCTTGTGGCCTGGGAGGGCAGTGGAGGACGGCCCAAAGCCTTGGGACCCTGCACCCACATGGGAGACCTGGAGGAAGTTCCTGGCTCCTGGGTTCGGATTGGCGCAGCACCAGCCGTTGCAGTCACTTGGGGAGTGAATCATCAGATGGAAGATCTTCTTCTCTGTATATCTGACTTTGCAATAAAAATAAATAAATCTTTTTTTAAAAAAGATATTTATTTCAAATACACAGAGAGGGAAAAGCAGAGAATCTTTAGATCCACCTAAATGCCTATAATGGCCAGGGATGGGACCTCGTCCAGGTCTTGCATGTGGGTCAGCTGCTTTCCTCATCACATAAACAGGGACCCTGCACCTGCGTGGGAGACCTGGAAGAAGCTCCTGGCTCCTGGCTTTGGATCAGCTCAGCTCTGGCCATTGCAACCACTTGGGGAGTGAACCAGTGGATGGAAGATTTTCCCCTCTGTAACTCTGCCTTTCCAATAAAAACTAAATATTAGAGAGAGAGAGAGAGCAAAAATATTTGGATTGGACCCTGCCTTCAGGGGCCTTGGAGAGGGGACACCCTCACGATGGTTAGGACTCCAAGCTGGGAGGGGCAAGGGGTGCTGGAAGGACCTCATGCCATTTCCAACATCTGTGCTGGCAAGAGGACCAGGTAACAGGGGCCCCAATATTCCCTTCCCTGCAGCTCTCCCCAACCCCATCTTCTAACACACTTCCCCAGGCACCTCCTCCTCACTTCACACCCCTTTTGTCACCTCTGGTCCTCCAGCTTCCTCACCCAGGGGCTCAGCCACATGACCACAGTAAAAATAGCTCCCTCCAGCAGGGTGTGAAGGGGCAGGCAGGAGGCTGCGCCCCCAGCACCACCGGATTCCGGGCCCCCAGTTCTGGCTGAGCAGCAGTGACAGCTGCAGGGAGCTACAGCACCGGAGCAACTCGCAGAGGTAAGCAGCCCAGTTGGGCCGACCCCCAACAGAGCCCTCCAGCCCTGAGCCCCTAACCCTGACTCTGTCCTCAGGAACCGCCCCGCTGCTGGCTACCCCAGGGATGCCTCTCCATCCAGCCCCGGCTGCCAGGTGCCCTCCCCTCAGCCCCGCTCAGCACAGGTTTCCCCAAGCCCCGACCTCCTGTTTGTGAGCCCCATGGCAGGCAGGGGACTGGCGGGCCGGGGTCGGGTGAGCATGCAGGAGCACATGGCCATTGACGTGAGCCCCGGGCCCATCCGGCCCATCCACCTCATCTCCCACTACTTCCCGCACTTTTCGCCCTTCGCGGAGCCCGCCCTGGGCATCCCGGCCCCACACCTTGCAGCAGCCTCCGCCAACCATCCTGCACCTCAGCCACAGCCCGACCCGGAGCCAGAAGGAGACTCAGACGACAGCAGTGAGTGGGGCCAAGAGGAGGGGACGGCCTGGCCCAGCCCTGCCAGGGTGGGGTCTGGGGCGCTCTAGGCAGCAGGCATGTAGGAGAGAGGGTGCAGGGGCCAACCTGCCTGCCACCTGCCCGCAGCTGCCCTTGGCACCCTCGAGTTCACACTGCTTTTTGATGCGGACAACAGCGCCTTGCACTGCACGGCTCACCGTGCCAAGGTGAGGTGTGAACAGTGGCCTCTGGGGAGAGGTGGCTGGGCCAAAGGCTGCTCTATATCCAGATCTGTCCCCAGGGCCTCAAGCCACCAGCCTCAGGCTCTGTGGACACCTATGTCAAGGCAAACCTGTTGCCGGGGGCCAGCAAGGTAAGCACTGCCCCAGCCCAGGGGATCCGGGAAGGCTGGGCGGATGTCCGGGTGTGATGAAGCACTGCCCCACAGGCCAGCCAGCTCCGGACACGCACGGTGCGGGGCACACGGGGTCCCGTCTGGGAGGAGACGCTCACCTACCACGGCTTCACCTGCCAGGACGCGGGGCGCAAGACCCTGAGGTGAGGAGCCTACTGAGGCTGCCAGGGAGTGGGGAGGGGAGGGCAGGCTGGCCTGGCCAGGGCTGACTTGGGGGTCCCTCAGGCTGTGTGTGTGCGAGGACCCCCGTCTGCGGCCCCGGCGCCGGGCTCCTCCACTTGGGGAGCTGCGTGTGCCCCTGAGGAAGCTGGTACCAAACCGAGCCTGCAGCTTCAACGTCTGCCTGGAGAAGTGTAGGCTGGTGAGTGCCCAGTCTGCCAGGGAGGGGACTCAGGCAGCCTACAGCCCAGCTGACCGGCTCCCCATTCTTCCAGACCAAGAGACCCAAGAGTGTGGACGCTGCCCGAGGCATGTCGCTGTATGAAGCGGTGGGTAGGACAGCTGGATGGGGACCCTGAGGAGCAGGACCAGGGCAGCCCCAGGCCCAGCCTGGCAGACCCTGCAACCCTGAGACATAAAAGGGTGGAGGATTCCCATGACCCCAGATGGGAGGGCTGGGCAAGGTCAGGGGTTGGCTGCTGGGGCGGCCCTGGGGTCAGGAAGGTGCACTCTAAGCTGGCTGCACCCCTCGACCCCCGCTCATGGTCTTGTCAGGAGCACCAGGGCCTCCTCGGGCTCCATGAGATCCCTAAACCTGGTCAGAGCCCAGGGTCCAGCAGTGGAGGTTCCCCTGCCCCATACAGTGGAGGGTTCACTGCCTACCCACTTCAGAGAAAAGGCTGAGTGGCCTTCCCCTAGTGGGGCCACACACTGTTGCACCTGCCAATGAGCTGAACTTGGAAATGGCACGGCTGTGTGCTGCAAGGCAGGGCCATCCTGCATCTCTGAGGACTGGCTGGGAGAGAGGCCGGCTTTCCTCAGGTGGACGACTGCAGGCCCCACCAGGTTCTTTCCCGCAGCCCTTGAGTACCAGGGGTGCTGTGTGACCTGGCCTCCTGGGACCACAGTGGGTACGGGGCAGGCCTGCACCTGAAGTGACCGTGCAGCCCTGGGCAGAGCTGCTCTTCAGACGCAGAGGCATCCTGGGAAGCTCCTGGCTGGCTCCTGACACCCAGAGACCATCCGGGCCAATGGGCTGGTGGGGCGGAAGGCAGCACTGGCCTCCTCAGGCCACCTGGGAGCTGAGCCCACACTGCCCCTGCAGGTGGAGGCGGAGGTGGCCTGGGAGGAGCGTGGCCGTATTCTCCTCTCCCTGTGCTACAGCTCACAGCGGGGTGGCCTGCTGGTGGGCGTGCTGCGCTGTGCCCACCTAGCCCCCATGGACGCCAACGGTTACTCGGATCCCTTCGTCCGCCTGTAAGCGTGAACTGTGTGGATAGGTGGGCAGGGAGGGCGAGGGGGCACCCCTGACCTAGCCCCCTTTCCCACTTAGGCTCCTGCACCCAAACATGGGGAAGAAGTCCAAACACAAGACCAGCGTGCGCAGGAAGACCTTGAACCCTGAGTTCAATGAGGTAGGCGGGCTGGGCAGACCCCGCCTCGCTTGGCCCCAGTGGCCGGCCACTGCCTGCCTGCCCGCTGCCCTTCCCCCGCAGGAGTTCTTCTACGCTGGCCCCCGAGAGGAGCTGCTGCAGAAGGCGCTCCTGGTGACGGTGTGGGACTACGACCTGGGCACCGCGGACGACTTCATCGGTGAGCGGCAAGTCGGGCGACTGGGGAAGCCTTGCGGGCCCCACCAGCCCCTTTCACACCCCCCATCAACAGGTGGGGTGCAGCTGAGCAGCCGGGCCGGCGGGGAGCGCCTGCAGCACTGGCACGAATGCCTGGGCCGCAGTGACCACCGGCTGGAGCTGTGGCACCCACTGGATGGCACGCCGCCCCAGCTTGGCAACTAACCTCGAGGCTAGCCCTACTCACCGGGGGCCCCCACGGCCAGGCCGGCACCCTCAGCTGCCTCACCTTGACCCCAGCCCCAAGTCCATAGGCCATTTCCTCCCTCCCCCCTCAACAAAGTCATGAAATCAAAATAAACATTTCCTTCATGCAGACCACAGCTGTCCCTTCTCCGGCCACTGCCACCCAGGGCAGACTGCGCCCTCTCCTCTCCCCCTCCTGGGGGCTAGCACCATGCCAGGGTAGGTCTGGCCACCGGCCAGCGCCCAAGGCAAGGCCCTGAAGCAGCCCTGCCCTCCCCGCCGGCCTGCTCTCCGTGTGGCGGGAACTCCAGGCTGGCTCCAGTGCACTGTGGGAGGAAGGGCAGAGATGGAGAGGCCGTGCTGGCAGAGTGGGCAGCACCTGCTTTATTTGAGGGACAGGGACACGCAGGCCGGGCTCCCGGCTCAGGCAGTGGCCTGCCGCGCCTGCTGCTGCTGGGCAAACCGTTGCATGCGCTCCTCGAGTTCTGGCCGGAAGTGGCGGATCAGGCCCTGGTCAGGAGAGGCGGGGTGTGACGCCCAGCCCTGCCCCCCGGCCCCACGCCCGCACCCACCCTGCCCCCACCTGATCCCCACGCCCGCACCCCTCCTCGCAGTGGGCACAAGTACCTGCACGGGCCAGGCGGCCCCATCGCCCAGGGCACAGATGGTGTGGCCCTCTATCTGCTTGCTGATCTCCCACAGGGAGTCGATCTCGGCCGGCCGGGCCTCGCCCCTCACGAAGCGGGCCATGACCTTGTTCATCCAGTCCACACCTGCAGGGATGGCAGCACGACAGCGCTCAACGCGAGGGATGTGGGGGGAAGCAGGGATGTGGGGAGGCGCACCCAGCCGGACGCTCACCCTCGCGGCACGGGGTGCACTGGCCACAGCTCTCGTGCTTGTAGAACTCAATGAGGCGAGCGATGGCCTTGACGATGTCCGTCTGGTGACAAGGGCAGCAAGCGGGCATGAGGCCTCAGACCCCAGCACACTCCCCGGGTGTCACTGCTGGGGTCGTAGCCAGCCTTCTGCGGTGCCCCGCCCAGCCTGCCTCTCCCACGGCCTGGGTTGGGGATGGACACACACACACACACACATACACACACACGCCTGCCCTCACCGAGCGGTCCATGACAATCACGGCGGCCGTGCCCAGGCCCGTCTGCGCCTGCACCAGCGCGTCGAAGTCCATCAGCACGGTCTCACACACGGACTTGGGGATCAGTGGGGTGGACGAGCCGCCGGGGATCACGGCAAGCAGGTTGTCCCAGCCACCTGTGACACCGCCTGGCCCCGGACAGCTGGGTCAGGGCTGGCTGGGTGGCACGCCTTCCCAGTCCTGGTGCAGCCCTGGCCCACCTGCCCGCCCGCCAGGGCCGACTGACCTCACGGTCCCAACAGCCCTGGCCTCTCCCCCGCCCGTCTGGGCCAGCTGACCTCATGGTCCCGCCAGCCCTGGCCTCTCCCTGGCCCACCTGCCTGCCCGATGCCAGCCCTGGTCTCTCCCCTGCCCACCTGCCTGCCCGATGCCAGCCCTGGTCTCTCCCCTGCCCAGCGCCTCACCAGCATGCTTCTCAATCAGTTCTTTGAGAGGCACTGACATCTCCTCCTCCACCGTGCATGGGTGATTCACGTGGCCGGAGATGTTAAAGAGCTTGGTTCCCGAGTTGCGCTCTCGGCCGAAGCCCGCAAACCAGGCACCGCCGCGGCGGCAGATGGTTGGGGACACAGCCACCGTCTCCACGTTGGCCACAGTCGTGGGGCAGCCAAACACTCCTGCGGGGGAAAGGGAGATCAGGGGCTGGATGGTGGGCTCCCCAGGGTCCTGATCCCTGTGACCGAGCTCCTGCTGTCTCACTGCTGTCATTCTTGTCCACTGCTGAGCCCCCAGTGGGGGCTGCATCCCCTGTTCTCTGCCATGCCTCGCTCCCAGAACACTGTGACGGCACAGCCACACACACGCCTGGGTGTCTGCCCTGGGGCCGAGGCTGGCCTGTGTGCTACTGGCACCCAACCCCACCTGGCCCAGCCCAGGGGCACTCAGAAACGTCCTGAGAACAAGCCAGGGGGCCTGTCCCCACCTGCCCACCTCCTTCTGGCCAGTTTCTGAGGAAGGGGTCCTGCAGCCGTGGCCTGGAGCTCACCCACATCTGCAGGGAAGGGTGGCTTCAGGCGCGGCTTGCCCTGCTTGCCCTCAATGGATTCGATGAGCGCTGTCTCCTCCCCGCAGATGTAGGCCCCGGCCCCGCGCACCACAAACACGTCAAAGTCGTAGCCGGAACCACAGGCGTTCTTGCCAATCAGGCCGGCCTCGTAGGCCTCACGGATGGCCACCTGTGGGGTGGGGGTGTGAGCTGGATGCCACCCAAGACCCAGAGAAGGCGGCTTCGGGGACCGAGTCCTGTATGGGGGGGCACGTGGGAGCAGCCCACAGACCTGCTGCGGGAAGGGCGTCTAAGCCCCGGGCCACGCAGCTCCATGCCCCACACACCTGCAGATTGGAGGCCTCGTTGTAGAACTCCCCCCGGATGTAGATGTAGGCGGCTCGGGCGCCCATGGCGCGCCCCCCAACCAGGCAGCCCTCCACCAGCTTGTGAGGGTCGTGGCGCATGATCTCCCGGTCCTTGCAGGTGCCCGGCTCCCCCTCGTCCGCGTTCACCACCAGGTACTTGGGCCTGCAGGGGTCCACAGCTCAGCTGGGGTGCACCGTATGGGGGTGTCCCAAGGCTGTCCCTCCACAGCTGGTCCCTGTCAGCCTGCACATGCCCCCAGGAGCTCTCCCTGCTGACCAGCAGGGGCTCTCCTAGGCCAGACGACCACCCAGCTCTCTCCCTAAGTCTTCCTGAGAGCTGCACTCCACTCAGGCCAGAGCCTGCTCTCCCCCGGGGTCCCCTGCCCCGGGCACTGCCCAGGCATACGCACCTGCCATCCGAGGGCTTGTTCATGAAGCTCCACTTGAGGCCCGTGGGAAAGCCGGCCCCGCCACGACCCCGCAGACCTGACGTCTTGATCTCGCCTAGGATCCAGTCAGGTCCCTTCAACAGAATCTCCTTGGTCTTGTACCAGTCACCCCGGCTCTGAGCGCCTTTCAACCTGGTCAAGGGCAGGGCAGGTGGTGAGGGGTGGGGTAGCCTGCTCTGGGCTGAGGGGTGCAGGGGGTGAGGGGCGGGGTAGCCTGCTCCGGGCTGAGGGGTGCAGGGGGTGAGGGGCGGGGTAGCCTGCTCCGGGCTGAGGGGTGCAGGGGGTGAGGGGGGTACCCTGCTCCGGGCTGAGGGGTGCAGGGGGTGAGGGGCGGGGTAGCCTGCTCCGGGGGATCTGCCAGGCCAAGGTGGGAGGGGATCCCTCTCTCACCTCCAGTCATGGCGTCCGTACAGGTTGGTGAAGATGCGGTCTTCGTCCCTGAGCGAGCCAAAGGAGGTTTTCTTGGGCGCCGCCTGTGGGGGACAGGAGGCCTCAGTCCTGCAGCCGCGGGAAGCTGGGCCAGGGGCTACCGACCTCCAGGGGCTGGCCTCTGCACCTGAGCACGGGCAGGGACCCCCCCACCCACCCCGGCGGCGCTCTGCCAGGCTGCGGCGACGGAGAGCCGCACTTCCCGCCAGGCCGGGGATCGCGCAGCCGGCGGGCCAGGCTCCTTGCAGCCCCGAGTCAGGCAGGGCCTCACCGTATCGCTGCTGAATCGCACAGACCCCCGCGCGGGGAGTGCCCCGCCGAGCAGCCGCCGAGCCACCAGCATCGCGGCGGCCAGCACGGTCACCAGCCTCTGTCACCTTCACAACACCGAGGCCGGGGCCGGCGCGCAGAAACAGCATCACGCGCCCCGCCTCCCGGCGCCGCTCCAGCTCCGCCCCTTCGAGGGAGCGTAAAGGACCGGACGTCCCGTGTCTGGCGCTGTGGCTTCTGGGAGTTGTAGTCCTGAGGGCTCCGGCTCCTCTTCCCACCGGTGGGGCGGGTGTTTGTTATCGGGCGGGATACCAGCTGCTGGCTCGTGTGCTTGTTGGCTGGCTCGCCTTCTAGCCAGATCTTCAGCCTCTCAGACCTCATGCAAACACTTCAGGTGTCTCCAGCTGGACTCTCGTGTTTTCCAGTCAGGTTTGCCGTTTAGGATGCGCCTGCTGCAGTTAGGTTCGGTGTATGGTGATGAAGGCAAAAAGTGAGACAGGTTGCGGCCGCAGCCCCACGGTCCCTTGTGATCTGGCTGCCCTCTGGCTGGGGCTGCCTCGCTGCATCCATGTGCTCGGGGAAGCTGAGGGGCCCCCGGCAGGCAGGCAGGCAGGGGGACTGACCGCGGCGGTCTTCCCAGAGGCGTCCACAGCCTCAGCTTGGGCCAGGCGCAAAACGGAGGTCGTCAGTGGCACTGCTGAGAGGGTGGCCCTCGGCGCACGCTGGCCCTCTACCCCCAGGGTCAACAGGCTCCCAGCGCGCTGTGTGGTCAGCACTCCCTGCGCCCCCTTCCGCGACCCCTTTCTGGTCTTTAGGCTTTAGGGCGTGGCTCGGAGTGGCGCTTGCCCTTCTCCGAGAGGAAGTGTGGGGAACACATGAATAAACTCTGGGCGCTCCCAGTTCTCTGGGTTATTGAGAGCAGCTCAGCCGCGCAGGAAGCAGCTGCAGTCCCTGGTGCCTCCCCTGCATGTCCCGCTTCAGCTCTGCCGGGTGCTGGAGCCTCCCACAGTGCCCTTCGCGGTGCAAACCCACAACACAGCCGAGGTGGGGCGGGCCAGCCCTAGCAGACGCCGGTCACACCCCTGAGACCCCACCTGTTCTGACCAAAGTTGCATCTGTGTGTAGGCGGGTAGACCAGCCCTTCCCCCGCACTGCACCCGAAGCCCGAGTCTGAGCTCCCAGTCCCAGGCCCTCCCCGTGCAGAGCTGGGATCACACAGCTAATCCGGGGCTCAGTCCATGGATGCCTCCTTAGGGGGCAGGAGAAGCGATAGAGGGCGATTCCTTAACCTCCTCCTCTCTAACTGGGTCAAGGAGAATGCTTGCTGGCTTGCTCACTGGGGTGCTGGACTGGGACAGGACAGGGTATGGCAGGATACCTCTATTCCAGGCAGGATGCGGTGTGTTAATCCCCCCACTCCCAAGGTTGGGGCCAGGGGAGCTGGGCCCACGTCCTCCTCTGCCTTGGCTTATCCTGCACCGCACCCGGGGGGTGAGGAGGCCCCTTGGGTGCTGCTTCCCCTTCAGGAATCTCCTCTGCCTCCCTGGTGTCCCAGGCCCCGGATCTCCCCTTGTCCACTGTGTTCCTGCCCCCCCTCCCCATGCCAGCATCCAGAGCAGAAGCAGAGAGATGACAGGGACCCTGGCTACATGCCCTAGACCAGTAGCACCCTGCCAATGCTAGCTGCCTCGCCGCTGCCCTGGGATTGGCATTGTGTGGCCTGGGACAGAGGCATCCCATGTGAACACCGACTGGAGCCCCAGCTTCCCATTGGGCCAAGCTCCTGGGAAGGCAGCAGAGGATGGCCCATGTACTTGTGGGAGACCCAAGTGGAGTTCCAGGCTCCTGGCTTCAGCCTGGCCTAGCCCTGGCTGGTGCAGTTCTTTGGGAAGCTGATGAACAATAATAACATCCTCTGAGTCTTTGTCGCATGCCCTCAGGCCCCTCCCCGTGGCTGAGCCTGGAACCTTGTGATGCCCCCTTGGGGCACCAGCCTGCACATTGGCCCCACCACCCCTTATAAACATGGACTAGTAGGTTCAGAACAAAGTTCAGGCGGCCCCCTCCTGACTGGCCTGAGGACATGGCACGGCCCCACCCAGCACTTCGGGTGGCATGCCGAGGGCCCCGGCACATGGGGTGGCACGCCGAGGACCCCACTCTGCTCCAGTAAGAGTAGCCTGTGGATGTCAACTTCCTGAAGTTCTCCATTCCCCACTGCCAATCCATCTTTCTAGAAACTCTCTCAGGAGCATGCTCACATTTTATATTTGGGAAAGTTAAAAAGCTCGGCAAAGCTGGAAGAAAGAAGCACTGTGTTTTATCACTGTGACTTCATCCCCTCAAGAATAATACCTGTATTTATTAATGCTTCTTGGCACTCTGCTAGATGTTTGTTCAAGATTTATTTATTTTTAACCTGGCGTGATGGCTTGGTGGCTAAGTCCTCACCTTGCACACGCCAGGATCCCGTATGGGTGCCGGTTCATATCCTGGCTGCTCCATTTCCCATCCAGCTCCCTGCTTGTGGCCTGGGAAATCAGTCCAGGGCAGCCCAAAGCCTTGGGACCCTGCACCTGCACAGGAGACCAAGAAGAAGTTCCTGGCTCCTGGCTTTGGATCAGCTCAGCTCTGGCCATTGTGGCCATTTGGGGAGTGAACCAGAAGATAGATGTTTGTATCTCTTTCTCTCTGGAACTCTGCCTTTCCAATAAAAATAAGCAAAATCTAAAAGAAAATAAAAGATCTATTTACTTTTTTTGGTAAACATTTATTTATTTTTATTGCAAAGTCAGATATACAGAGAGGAAGATCTTCCATCTGATGGTTCATTCCCTAAGTGGCCGCAGTGGCTAGAGCTGAGCCAGTCCAAAGCCAGGAGTCGGGAACTTCCTCCAGGTCTCCCATGTGGGTGCAGGGTCCCATGGCTTTGGGCCGTCCTCGACTGCTTTCCCAGGCCACAGGCAGGGAACTGGATGGGAAGCAGGGCTGCTGGGGTACAAACTGGCGCCTATATGGGATCCTGGTGTGTTCAAGGTGAGGACCTTAGCCACCAGGCCATCGTGCCAGGCTCAGATCTATTTACTTTTAAGGCAGATTTCCAGAAAGAAGGAGAGACATGGAGAAAAATCTTCTGTCCATTGGTTAATTCCCCAAATGGCTGCAATAGCCAGAGCTGAGCTGATCTGAAGGCAGGAGCCAGGAGGTTCTTCCAGGTCTCCCACGCGGGTGCAGGGTCCCAAAGCCTTGGGTCATCCTCTACTGCCTTCTCAGACCATAGACAGAGGATTGTATTGGAAGTGGAGCATCCAGGACTCAAACTGCTGCATGTACAGATGCAGGCACTGGCAGGTGGAGGATTAGCCTGTTGAGCCACTGCATCAGCCTCACAAATGCAATTTTTTTAAAAAAGATTTATTTATTGCAAAGTCAGATATACAAAGAGGAGGAGAGAGAGGAAGATCTTCAGTCCGATGATTCACTCCCCAAGTGAGGGCAACAGCTGATGCTATGCTAAGTGTTAGGCCACGCCACCAGGCTCCACAAATGCAATTTTAAAAAAGTGATCCACAGGGCCCAGCATAATGGCCTAGCGCCTAAAGTCCTCACCTTGAACACGCCAGGATCCCATATGGGCGCCAGTTCTAATCCTGGTGGCTCCACCTCTCATCCAGCTCCCTGCTTGTGGCCTGGGGAAGCAGTGGAGGACAGCCCAAGGCCTTGGGACTGTGCACCCATGTGGGAGACCTGGAGGAAACTCCTGGTTCCTGGCTTCGGATCGACGTAGCACCGGCCGTTGCGGTCACTTGCAGACAGAGGATCTTCCTCTCTGTCTCTCCTCCAATCTGTATATCTGACTTTGCAATAAAAATAAAATAATATATTTTTTAAAAAGATGCACAGTTGGTTGGGAGGTAGGCTGCACCTCACACTGACCTCTGCCTCCTCCAGCACCCATACTCCTGTGTTCTCCATTGGACTCGGTCCTTTGTGACCCTGTGACCCTGTGACCTGGCTGGGCATTTCCACACCCTGGTTCCTGTAGACGCGGAGACCTGGCTGCAGCCACAGCCGGGCTGTCGGCTCTGCTGCTCTGGTCTGGACACACACCCAGGATGTGGCTCTGAGCCAGGGGGTCTGCTACAGGGTCTGCCTGCCCCGCCTTTGTCTCCAAACGCAAAAGCTCTGGCCTCCTTCTTCCCCACCAGTTGGGGTGGCCCTGGTTAACCACCTGAGATGCCAGATGCCAAGAGGAGCTTAACCTCCCCATCCCAACTCATCCAAGATTTTAGGAACGCGAGCCGCCACTTGTCGGGTCCACAGGCGCTTTCGGAAACGCCAAGCCCCATTCCATAAATCAGCAAAGCAGACAAAGCACAAAGCCGTGCATCCTGTGATTAGAAACAGGTCGAGCTGTTTGTCTTCCTCCCGCGAGGGTCCACACCTTGCAGAGCCCATTTCCTCCCGGCGGGCAGGCTCACGCTCCAAGGACATGGGGGTGGGGAGCTCTGGGGCAGGCGAGGTCCCGTGGCTGCAGCCAGAATTTATGACTTCCTGCCTGCAGCACGCATCCCATGGCCCCCACCGGCACCTCAGCTGCTTCAGGGTGGGGAGCCTTCCCAGGTGGGCCGAGCTAATTGTATCAAGCAAGCATCTTACCAAATGAATGGACGGGCTCCCTGCAAGGGTTCCGCCAAGTCCAAGTCTGGGGGTGAGGCCCCTGAGACCGAAACCGATGCTGAAAGGGGTCAGGAATGACCGAGGACACGAGGGCCCCTGGAAGGTGTGTGTTGCTGGGGGTAGAGCAGGGTGAGGGGGCAGGGAGGTAACCCCGACCCGCCGTGGGAGGCCTAGTTGTTAAGCCTGAAGGGACAGGATGACTAGACCAGGGCTCTGATGGATGGTGCGCCTCTGTTACATCCGCTAGATGTGCTGAGGGTTTGGCTTTTATTTCCTTCTTTGGACAGGCGGCGTGTTAAGAAAGATTTATAAAGGTGCAGGTGGTAGGGTGTCTTTCGCTTTCTGGTTTTGTTCCTTGTGGCTTTCTTACTGTTCGCTACACTCTTTCTCTCCCTCACCCATATGCTCTAGAACTTTCCTCAGGGCACGGCTATCCTGTAACGGTCCCCAGAGCCACGTAAAGGAAGCTGCCT